TAGCTGGGACTACAGGCGCCCGCCACCACGCCCGGCTAATTTTTTGTATTTTTTAGTAGAGACAGGGTTTCACCGTGTTAGCCAGGATGGTCTCCATCTCTTGACCTCGTGATCCGCCCGCCTCGGCCTCCCACAGTATTCAATTACAGGCGTGAGCCACCGCGTCCTGCCGAATAACTTTCAAATAAGATAATTCTGAATATTTTAGGTGATCAGTGAAAACGATGACCACTTCTCCTTTCTCTCAATATAAACCGTAGCAGCATAGAAAACTTGAGAAGCTTCAAACATACTAATTTATTTACCCTATCTCAATTAAATCAGGCTCTCTGGTGTTGGGGCGGGGGTGTGGATGTGGGGGTTGGGAGTTGCTTTCTAAAAGCTCTCCAGGTGTGATTTAAATATGCATGCTGGGGCGGTACCCACCGGACTAGAATTTATTAAGTAATGCCTTTTCTCTTATTTAGTGGAAGCATGGCGAGATTTCGCTTTTTACATTTAACTCATTTTATAGAAAAAAAGCAAAGAAAGCCCTATTCAATAAAGAAAGCACTCCCTAGGCACTTGCTCTAGTGATACGGTGGTTATTCATTAGGGACTGTCACTCCAGCTGAACTCTATGTCTACTTAAGCAGTTAAACACTGGCCTCTTTATTTCTGCGCTCTTGTACATCATTTCGTATATGGTGGAACCCTTCGAATTACTTGCTTTCCTAGAGTTTGACACGTGGTGAGGGAGGTTTTTTCCTTTAAAAAACATTACTAGCAGTTGGAAAAAATTTAAAGGCATATGGCAGGTGTTCGAAAAGTTTTTAAGAACCATCTTGACCGGGCGCGGTGGCTTACGCGTGTAATCCCAGCACTTTGGAAGCCTGAGGCAGGCGGATCACCTGAGGTCAGGAATTCGAGACCAGCCTGGCCAACATAGTAGAAACCCGGTCTCTACTAAATATACAAAGCCGGGCGTGGTGGCGCACGCCTGTAATCCCAGCTTTTCGGGAGGATGAGGCAGGAAAGTCACTTGAACCCGGGAGAAGGAGGTTGCAGTGAGCCGAGATCGGCGCCACTGCACAACTCTCTCAAAAAAGCAAACAAAAAAAGGCAGACCCTCCCTATCCCCATTCAAAAGCAACGTTGTGAGGAGGCTCAGCTGTGACAGCGACCTGTACTCCCCGCCCCCATTCCCAAGCGCAGCACTCCTCCACCCAGAGCAGGTTTCCGTTTCTTCTCACTTCCCCTTCCGGGTCAGGACCCTGCCCATGTTCCGGTCTTGCGCACGAGGGCTAGAACGCAGCAACTCTGCTGGCGTTTCCATGGTAGCGAGTGGCCTGATCTTTGCGGGGCTAAGCAACGAAGTAGTATCAGTGTTCCGTAGCCCCACTGGAACTACGCAGAGCCAGGCCAGCGGGACCACAGAATGGGCTGAGGCGGCGGCGGCTCTTTGGATAAAGTCGACAGCGGGACGTGGGGCGTGACGCCGGTCCGGCATCCTAAGACGTCTGGTTTGAGTTGCGGGCGGGATCAGGCTTTTTTTAGGACCTTGGGCCTGATAAGCGGGCGACTGCAGTAGTGCGGGAACCTATTGTTTGACAGGAACATGACAGGAAGTGTGGGGACTCCATGCTTGATGGATGGTGACTTATAGTGAAGTAATCTCAGTGTTGATGGGCATGACCGAAACAGCAGGAGTACCCGTAAGTTCTGGTGAGAGTTGGAGCCTCAGAAGGACACTTTACTCAAGCAGTCTTTGGTTCCCAAAGACAAAAAGGCTCAGTGGAAAAGATTCCTTTTTTTTTTTTTAATGTCTCTATATTTTAAACTATGAGTTTATTGTGCATATACATTATCTAGTTTGAATAAATAAAAGTATAAACGTTTAACATTTTCCATTTTCTTTCTTTATTTCTATAAAGTAGTAAAAGCCCAGCTTGAAAATGGAGATGTATGAAACCCTTGGAAAAGTGGGAGAGGGAAGTTACGGAACAGTCATGAAATGTAAACATAAGAATACTGGGCAGATAGTGGCCATTAAGATATTTTATGAGAGACCAGAACAATCTGTCAACAAAATTGCGATGAGAGAAATAAAGTTTCTAAAGGTTTGCTTCTTTTGCCTTAATCATCTAAGTCAAAAGAAAAATTGTTATGGAATAAAAAATTGCATAAAAATATTTTAGTTCACACATGTACTGATTCATATTATGTAGAAACAAGTGTAATACGCTATCTTGTCCCTTTTGTAATTTTATAGTGATACAAGATATATGTGTTTTGGGGTATGTAACAAAAGCTATGCCAATATTGTTTAATAATTATTCAGAAATATTCAAGTATAATAATAAAAATTTCTGCTTTGTGCAAGGCATGGTGCTAGGTACTGAGAATATAAGGAGGTTAAAGATAGTTCCTGCCCTTAAAGACTTCTATAATTTAATCAGAAAGGAGAGTATATAAAAAATCATACTGAATAAAAAGTGGCTCATAATAAATGCCAGGGAATCAACACAAAGTCCTTTCCCTGGTAGGGAAAGTTTTCCTGAGGAACTGGGACATGAATTTGGCTTTGAAGGATGTGGAGGGTTTAGATAAGAGGGAGAAGCTGTTGTGTTCTATTTTAGAGGAACAACATAAACTCAAAAGAGACTAGAGAGGGACAAAGGATAAAGGGCAAAGTGGAAAGGACAAAGAGCAAAGACATTTGCCTGTAGAGTTTTCTGAGCAGAATTGGAAAGAGGTATATTAGAACAGTAAATTGGAGGTAGATTTTAAAGTCTTTTAGGCTAAGGAGTCAAAAACTTGATTTTGTAAGAGGTGGAAAGTCAGTGAAGGTTTTGAATTCAGTGTAAAGAAATGTTGTAAATTTTAATCTACCCCTATTGTGCGGAATAGGTTGGAGGACTGTGAGTAAAAATAGGTCTGTTAGGAGTTCAATTCAGGAATTTTGGGAAATGTTTGAGGGCCCTTGCTAAAATGCAGCAATGTGAATGGAAAGTAAAGTCAGAACATGCTATATTGTAAAAAAAAAAAAAAAAGACATGAGGCTGGGTGCAGTGGCTCATGCCTGTAGTCCCAGCACTTTGGAAGGCCAAGGTGGGTGGATCACCTGAGGTCAGGGGTTCAAGACCATCCCGGACAACATAGTGAAACCCTGTCTCTACTAAAAATTAAAAAGAAAAAAAATCAGCCAGGCATAGTGTCACGCCCCTGTAATCCCAGCTACTTAGGAGGCTGAGGCACGAGAATCGCTCGAACCTAGAAGGTGGAGGTTGCAGTGAGCCGAGATCACGCCACTGCACTCTAACCTGGGCAACAGAGTGAGACTCCATCTCAAAAAAAAAAAAAGACATGAAAGAGTGTAGAAGACTATAGAAAGACTATAGAAGACTATAGAAAAAGTATAGAAAGAGTCAAAGGTCTCTTTGAGGTTCAGTGATTGCTACAATTGATAGAAATATGAAATACTCAAAAGAGACATGGTTTGGGAACTACTTTGATTTTAGAAATGTTGAATTTGAGCTGACAGGAGTACATTTAAGTAAAGATGACCAATAGGCTTTTAGAAATGAGGAACAACGTCAGGAGAGATCAGGGAACAAGATAGAATCCTATGTAGGTGTGACGGTTAAACCCAGAGGAAACAACTGAGGAGTGTGGAGAAAGGAGCATTAACATTCCTTGGGGTCTGGGTAGAAAACTAATGATTTTAAAAATATTTAAATATGGATATATTCTATTTATTCGAATCTATTTACATCCTTTAAGGTTTATGATCTTGACGATATAGTATAGCTGTTTTATATGCCACAGATGTTCTTGTTTGTCTTTATCTGATACAAAAATAATATTTTCTTCTTTCTTTGTAAGTCTTTATGAGATATAATGGATCAATTTGCTTACTTTCTCTTTTTTTTAGAAATGGAGTCTCACTCTGTTGCCCAGGCTGCGGCGCAGTGGCATGATCATAGCTCACTGCAGCCTCCATCTTCTCAGCTTAAGCGATCTTCCTGTCTTGGACCTGTGAAACAGCTAGGATTACAGGCATGAGCCACTGTGCCTGGCCTAATTTGTGGAAATATTTTAGGCGTCTGTGGATTATTAGAATGGCTCTACGCTGGGTGCGGTGGCTCACACCAGTAATCCTAGCACTTTGGGAGGCCGAGGCGGGCAGATTGCCTGGGCTCAGGAGTTCGAGACCAGCCTGTGCAACACGATGAAACCCTGTCTCTACTAAAATACAAAAAATTAGCTGGACATGGCAGTGTGCGCCTGTAGTCCCAGCTACTTGGGAGGCTGAGGTAGGAGAATTGCTTAAACCCGGGAGAAGGAGGTTGCAGTGAGCTGAGATAGCGCCACTGCACTCCAGTCCCGCTTACAGAGTAAGACTCTGTCTCAAAAAAAAAAAAAAAAAAAAAAAAAAAGTTATTTAGGCATAATAAAACATTTCAAAAAGGAGGCTAAAATACTACATATCTGAGAAAAGAACAGTCTGGATCAAACTATCACAGACTATCAAAATTTTTGTCCTCAGTATTCTCAAAAAAATCTTTTTGGGAGCACACTTTCTAGATTATCATTTTATTGGCTATCTTGGCTCTCTATCAGGACTCTTCCAAAAGGGTGCAGTGGCCAAGAACAATGTTTCCTCCAGTGACTTCTGAGAAAGAAAATTTTATTATTTATTTTACTTTTAAACTTTAATTTTCTGTAGATATGGGGTCTTGCTATGTTGAACTGGTCTTGAACTCTTGGCCTCAAGCAATCCTCTTGCCTCAGTCTCCCAAAGTGCTGGGAATACAGGCACGAGCCACCATGCCCGGCCTGAGAAAGATAATTTTGTATCAAACTTTTTTCTTCAATTCAGAGTAACACCCATTTGCAGAGTGTTTTATCCAAGAAGTAATATGAAAAAGAAAAGCCAGGACTCAACGTGCAGGTAAACAAATTTGGACAGTTCCAATATGGAAAATAATTTTAATGGCTTTTCATAACAGAAAAAAAGGACAGAAATATCCAGCCAACAGATTTATTTTCAGAATATAAAACATCAAGCAGGAACATAAAATATGGGAAGTGTCAGCCATGATGCCTGATGATTGAAGGCAGAAGTAGAAGAATCTTAATTGTCAGGCATTTGAAAAATGTTGCATCCAAGTGAAAGACTGTTTCTCCATCAACTCTCCTTGCCCTGCCCTCTTTTAAGAGCAAAACAAGACTAGATTTCAAAAATGTATTCTTCTTATCTTTCTTCCTACTAAAAACAAACCAAAACAACAGCAAAAACCCCCCAAAGATCTGTGTTCGAGAAATGAGAGCTAACAACTTCTTAGTTGTATTTTGTTTCCTTTTCAGAGGACCTGACAAACCTATTTCATAGTTCTACTTGGTTTCCTTTTCAAGGGTAAAACTCAACTGAATGAAAGGCAATGAGATCAAAGCAATGAATTAATACTCTGGGGGCTAGAACTTTCATTAAATACTCATAAATTTGTGCAGAACATTCATGCTTCAGGGCCTTTACATAGTAATACATCCTGGTGAAACACTTATTATGACCAAAGGCTAGTAGCTTCACAGTCTT